AAGATACTTTTTAGGCTATGAAAATCAATTTACTTTGTCACTTTTATTGAATAAAAACTAACGAAAATCTAAAACTAAAACTAAGAGATATGGGGGGGTTTGAATGATAATTCTAAAAAGATAAAAATGCAAATAAAATAAAGATAAGGATAACAGATAAGAGATACGAAATGAAACCACAAGAGCAACTCGAACTCAGAAGACACTCAGGGAGAAACAAACACACAAATAATCACACAATAAACTTTATAATAACATAGACAATAATAATTAACTTAAATCATTTTGAAAATACTTATAGTTTTTAATAGAAAATAAACTGAACAAATCTAACTGATCAATTGATTATGTCTTAATCCTAAAACTAAACTGTTAATTAAACTTAGGGTTAAGCTGAAGAAGAGATCCACCTGCGGTTCTTCCCTATTCTCCCTAATATAGCCTATGTTAAGACATGCCCTAACTCTAGACCCTACTATTCTTAATAACCCAAGGACCTGCCCCCAGATTTAATTAAAAATAGAGCATTAAATTCTTTAGAAAACATCACTTAACAACTATGCAGTAGACTATATCTATTTAACATAGCCAGCTTGAAAATTCTAATTAATAAAAACCGGGTGGGAGCCAATTAAATATTAACCAGTTGACACTTGTGTTTCAAAAATCTCAGCTATAAACGTACTCAAGATCTTAAAACTGTCGATTCGAATTAGAGTTTAGGCGGCCGTCCTAAATTGATCTAATCCAAGTTTAAACAAAGACCTGTTTTCAAACACCTTTTCGAGTTTAGATTTGACAGTAGCACAAAGGCTAAAATTCCTTCAAAGTCAAATTAATCCAACAAAAATGACCAAATCAAAGTTTCAATCTTTTTATCAAATAATTCGGGCTAAGAAGGTTTTATAATTTCAGAGACAATAATCAATCAATAAACCAACTTTGATCAATTCAACATCAACACTCAAACAATTCAACACTTATAATATAACTTAAACAATCAACAAACATGGAATTGAAAATAAACATACTTAATACTGACAATCAAATTCATAAATTGAGAAACTTATAAACGGGAAAGTCTTAATTAAAGAATGAAATTAAAAAGGAGAAAATTGCTCCCCTGAGTTTCTATGTTCGTCCGAACAGTGCACAGAAGCTAGGAGTCAGGGGAGTTCCCAATCACCGAAGCATCGATCTCGCCTTGCCGTCTCCGTCCAGACCTCCCGTCGTCGTCACCGCTGTGCAATTGCCGTCGCCGGACCTAGGGTCGGAACCCTAGGTCGGCACCTGCTCTGCTCCGATCTGTTCTCTTGTCTCTATCCGTCCCCCCCTTTCTGGTCGATATTTGCCTCTTTTATACATGAGTCCTCCAAGCTTTAGTCTTTAATTTGGATTGGGAATGGGAATTGAAGTTTGATTTGAGGAAGGAAGCCTCCTCCGATTCTTCTTGCTCTATGCGGTCTTCTATGGTTCCCATCTACGGAGTCTCTCTTCTTCTTTTTTTTATTCATTTATTTGAACTTTTACTTGTAATGGATTGAGACTTCGACAAATCCAAATGGGATCAAATCCAATGTTGGGCCCAAACTCTCTTCTTTTCTTTTTCTTTAATTGTGGTGTCAAAGCTCTAAGACTCCAGCATTGCTATTTCCTCTACGTTGAGCTCCAAATTATATCTTAAACATTGTGTCAAGGAAAATAATGCTCCAAAAACAATAAAACATAAATATACTTAAAATCATGCATTTTATAAATAAAATGTAAACAATAGCCCAAAATGATATATATAACAAAATACGTTTATTTAAATATAAAATGCATATAAAACATCTTAAAAGTACTAAGAAATGAAGGAATAAAATATGACATTTTGTGACTCAACACCAGTATTGTATTCTTATACTGTTACTTTGTCCACCAACAGTTCAGCTAGGTAACCTATCCATATTCAAGTTCATACTTTCGTATTCTAAAGCTCATACGTAATCACAGTAAAGTTCATAAACATACATACTTAACAATTAGCAATCTAGCGTCGGGTGTAAACATCTTCCACTTATCGTCATGCAACACACAAGACCTCGAAGTAAATACGGGATTCGAATCGGGACAAACAATCAAGAAAAAGGGCGGCTGGGGTCTAACACGGTACCTGATACGGTACCCTGGCCGTACCATGGTACCGTCGGTCCGGTACCCCCGACCATCATAGTACAATTGCCGCCAGAGAAAATTGGCTTGTGGCGATAGTCAGGTATTGTTAGGCGATACCTAGCGACCGTCTAACATCAAGAACGTAGGAGAGTTTGATCCAACTCTAAATCATTCAATACGTATAATGTTTTTAAAGCTTATTGACACACAAACAATTGGAGTAAGAGAACATACATGGCCTCCTCGATTAATTAATAACATCATATATTTTTAAATAAATCATAATTCAAATCATAATCAAATCGATCACATAATCAATCATATGAGATTACGAACGTGAATTTCAGACCTACACAAATAATCTAACTTTAGATGTTCACCTACTCACACCTCGATTAATTGAAGACGGATTAAATAGAATTCACCAATTAATCAGAGAAGATGATGGAGGACGATGGCGGCTGTTTTACTGGCGACCACGATCGCCAGCGATGCAAAAACGGCTGACCTTCTCCCTGTTTGAGGATCCCGACGACAGACAAAGGCTGTTCTGCGACTTCTCTCTCTTGCGTTCACATTTCAAATCTGTCTTCTTTTTCCGGTAGAAATCCGTAAATATTTTACAGTCTTAAACTCTGTATATTTGTTTTCTTTCTTTATCCATGCATGTTTTTATATGTATACACATGTATATGCAACATTCCGTGTTTGGGTGGGTTTAGGGTTTCTTGGTGCGTGACATAGGTAGAATAAGACACTTCCCATATATTTTTATCGGTAAGTCTAAAATGACACTAGTGCTACTTGTAACGCCCCAAAATATACCTTAAAATTTATTGAATTAAATATTCAATTAAACAAAATTTGTTTTGATTAAAATAAATTATTATTGGGAATTGGGCCGAAATAAAATATATATTGATGTCCAATAAACATAATTGGGTTGAATCTCATAGAGAAAAATCCAACCTGTTGACTTATTGTGTGGTCTTGATTGGAAACTTGAGTATAGACCCAAATTAAGAATAAATGAAGAAACTGTTTGTATTGTGAACTTTGAAATGATTTATTGAAATAAATCATGGAAATAAATAGTATGGATTAAATGTGAGAACCTTTTTGAGTACAGGTCAATTAAACCAATTTTGACTCTGTCACAGTCAACCACCAAAAATATGATGTCGGAAAAAGTATAACAAATAAATGTAAAAAGTATATCGTTAGATAGAGTTTAATTGCACGATTGCAACGGTGCAAACGGATTTCAATTCGAAGAAAGTTGGACCAAAAGTATACCCCGACTGGGACCAAAATTAGTCCCAATCAGGGACGGCGCCTCCTACTCCACTCAGCCGATGGAAGATGCATTCCTACGCAAATCCTACGCAGCAACGTTGTCACCTTCCCCATTCTGTTCCTATATAAGCAACAATCAACCTTCTCATTCATCACCAAAAAATTATGAATTTAGTATCAATGTGTTCACAAGAGTAAGGAGAGCAAACTGGTGTTGTTAATTGCCGCTGTAGTCGCCAGAGTTGGGAGTAATCGTCGTCGGAAGTTTCGCCGGAAAATCTTCAAAACCTTCATTTACCTTCGAGGTAAGCCCGTTGATATATCTAGTGACTAGAATGTTCGTATAGATCGTTTCTACGTTCATAAACACTCGTTTGATTGAGTTTTGTGTTTGACATGCTTGAAGAACCAAGAATCATAAACCATGAACTTGATGTTTAAACTATGAATTAATGATACCAAAATGACCTATGAACCTTGGAGAACATTTCTATATAGTTTTTACGAAGTTCGGTAACCAAAAATGATATTTTCGAAATTGGACCCGAGAGGTTGAAGAAGATGAACAGTAGCTGAAATGCAGTAGGAAGGATCGATCCTCCTCATTGGATCGATCCTCTGGGAGTGAATTTTATAGTTTGATCGATCCAGACAACTGGATCGATCCTCCGAAACTCTGACCCGAAAATTTATCTGAAAATGCTATTTTTGAGCTCTAAAATCCTATTTTTGATACCATTTGATTATGACCATTATAAAAATGATTTATCAGAATAAAAGTGATGTTTTTAATAAATAAAAATGTTATGTGATGCATGACGGTAACTTAGGGTGTTAACACCCGAAGCTAGGCCGCTAATTGTTATTGAATATTATGTTGATTGATGACTATGGTAATGAATATTGATTGATGATTATGATGATTAAACCTTGATAAATGTTCGGATTAAAAATGGAAATTATGAATGATTAAATCATAATGAATATATTGATGATTGTGAAAATAATATGTATTGTTAAGGGTATCTAGAAGACCTCTAAGATATACCCATATTAATGTTGATTTGAACGGGTATCTAGAAGACCTCTAAGATATACCTATATAAGTTAGGCCTTGCGGGTATGATGCCCGGTGGCTAGGGTTAAAACGTACGTACGGGATCCAGGAACCAAACTTGAGTACCTACTCGTTTGGGGGTACCACCCACCCAACAGTGAACACTACGCTGTCGGTTTTTGGTTGGCCTTAAGTGAAGGTAAGTTTAAGATTTCCAAAACCCTTTTATCTTAAACTAGGCCTAGCTTAAGGATTATTAGGAGTACTCTGTATACTGGAATATAGTTTAATTAGTTAAACTAGAATTCATTTAAGGGTTGACAAATATTAAATTGATTGGCCTTAGACTAAAAATAGTTTAAGGATACTGTTGAATGACAAATGATGAATATACATGTTGGATGATTGAATAATGAATGTTGAAAATTGAATATTGATAATTGAATATCTAAACTGAACATTATGTGCATGATATCAAATGGTTGATTATGAATTGAGATTCAATTTATGTGGATGTTCGACGCATTAGATATGCTTACTCAGCTTTACCGCTGAGCGTGTAGTGTGTTTTATTTGCTACACGCAGGTCAATAGAATGATGTGACGTGATCCTGGAGGCAGACAGAGGCGAGATAGTCGGAATGGATGTGATAGTTTTGAATTAAAGAATATAAATAAATTATTTTTGTGGTTATGATTTGTTAAGCTTCCGCAATATTGAAAACTCTGTACTGTTTATGATATGAAAAATATTATTATGATAAATAAAAGTGTTTGAAAAGTTTTAATTTTTACGATTACCAAGTTAATACTTTAGTCTGAAAGGGGCTGCAGACCTGGACGGATTAGGGTGTTACAATTTGGTATCAGAGCAAATGGTTTTAAAACCGATCTTCGGATCAAAATATTTAAAAAAAAAAATTATGTGAATCACATCCACGACTCTCGCGTCCCTCTGCTCCAGGAAAGGTACGAGAATTTACTTGGTAATATTTGCTCTGTTAGAATTCTCATTGAATAACAACTGATTAGTACTGAAATCGTATCGAGCATAGACTCAAATTGAATTTTTGTACTTGGTGAAGAGAAAAAAATATATATATGACCCTCTGATCCGTTATTAACATACGCATCGCATCGCGAAGGACGAAACTAATCTGCATTGCAAAATCGTACGAAAGTGAGACGACTATGAAGAAACGATAATTGTTAAGAAATATCTGTGAAGCCGATGTCAAAGATACTCATGTGGACTCAAGACGATCTAATCGCTGATTCAAACACGAACGTTTAGAATCAATAAACTCTGTTATCTAAAGTATCCCATTCTGATGTCTAACTCATTAAGATGCAAATATGCGCTTATATCTTAAGAATCGAAATCGTTCGTTAAGCAACAACTCCTTGCAAAACCTTGTTGAAATACCATACAAGGAATTTCACAATTATCCTTAGTATACATTGGCTGATCGAACGATGTTGGTATTGACAACTCTTGACGAAGAATTCTTCAACTGAAGATCGATGATTGAAACCTTATATAGGTGAAAGCAAAGCTGATTTCTAAACCGACCGAGTTTATCTCGAATTTATGTGCGCAAACCTCTCAACCAAAAGGAGCATAAAGTCTTTTCGTGTGATACGTGAAAGAAAGATCTGAACTGAAGGACTAATATTCGTAACTCTATATTGAATGTGTTTCCAGCAATGACTTCTTGACAAAGAATCATCTGATCAAGTGTTTCCTCCTTGGGAGAATACCTGTTTTGTTCATACGCGAATCAATAAGACTCTATATCAACTACTGTCAGTTGAACAATTCGTTATCCTTTACCTCGTATCATGACTTATTTGATCAACTTAGAGAATCCATTGTATTCTCTAAGATTGACTTACGGTCAGGATACTAACAAATCTTTGTTAAGAAACTTGAACAAACTGACGATAGAGAATTGCTATCCTTTACTATAAACTGATGACTTATTCGATCAAATTCAAAGAATCTGCTTGTTAAAGCTATAGACAACTCAACCTTGTTGAATGAACTGATGCCTTGTTATGAAGTGATTAATGACCTAATTACTTATCATCGGAAACGTCAATGTAATCTGATTGAATAAATAAAGTAATAAAGTGATGCTGACAAGACAAATCAATAAGATAGTTGACTCGTTTTGATATCCTATTGACGTGAAAGATCGCGACCGAGATGATGATACAAAACATGACGTGAATTAGTGACACCAACAATGAAAGACTGAAGAATGAAGAGAATGTAGCTCGCACTGGTCATACAACGTAATATAATATTTACGGATAATATAGTTCTGACACAAATACAACTGGGATTACATGAAGTAATATTACAAATGTAACTCCAAATCTAATCCCCCAGGATTTGTGAACTCGTCATAATTAGCCCCAAAAGCCGGAAAAGCTTTAGTGAACTCTAGCTTGTCTAAAAGCTCACCTATAAAGAAAGAAGAAATGAAAAGTTTTCTTTGACTGGAAGCCATGAAGTTCTGCCTCACCGCATCATCTAGAAACTTGATTAGGTTATTGAAATAACCGTCAATGTTCAAAAGACCAATGGGTTTAATGTGTAACCCTTCGGATGCCCATGAGATCAAAGTGAATAAACCTTCCATAGTGTCAATCCCTCCAGGAAGTATGATGAAGGCTTCCACAATATGATTCATCTCGAAATACTTAGAATAATTGCTGGAGACGGTATACTCTACACCGTACGAAGGTCCGTAAACCTGTCGTGTTGCTATATACCCTGGTATGAAACCTCGGACTCTACCACCATTATTATAGACTGTTGAAGCTACAGCTCCTTGAAGACCAACGTTGCCTCCTCCGTAGGTAAGCCTGATTTTTTGCCTTACCAATTCCCGTCCTAGATCAACCGCTATAGCCATTAACTTTGGATTTCTACCAAGAGAATGACTACCAAGTAGACCAACGAATCTTATGGTAAAAGGAAGTGTTTGAGAAGTTCCTTCCATAATGTGAGAATGTGAAATACTCGTTTCATAATCGTGATATATATAGCCTCGGAAACCTGACCGTTTATGGAGAGGTAATGGTCACTAGCCAAAATACGTACAGTAAAATGTATTCAATATAGCTACAGACGAGAACGTACTCGCTAATATCATAGTCTGCTAACGATATGACGTATTGAGACCCTTGAACAGTTAGATTCGCTGTCCTGGTAAAACGTTCAAATCTGAGATGAAAAGTCAAAATGGCTATTTCCTAAGACAACGACCTTTTGAGTAACTTCTAAAGAGTGAAACATTGAAGGAAGAAAACCTATGATTAGTAACGGTAATCCGCAAACGATGTCTTGATATCTTGTGACTCATATCCTTGAAATACTACTTGTGGTGTTAACTACACCCTTGAAAACATCTCGCTTGATCATTCTTTGTATCAAAATGATTCTTCATTGAAACCAAAACAATACTTGGTAATACCATGATATTGATCTTTGAAAACTATACCCTGTGGAATACGTGACTCGATCACAATAGTAAAACTACCCTGACTTAAACATCTATATCTATATATTATTTAAAAAGCCATGAATTTGCAATGGCTTTTTCCCGCTCATTTCGTGGTACATATAATTTGGTAATTCTTAACCCCATATGGTAATTAGTAATGACAAACTTAAATGGTCTTAACCACATATGGTAAGATCGCATATAAATATGGTATATTTATGTATTATCACACGGCATTAAGTTTCCGAAATTAATACACGGTATTAATAAACTGTTATAAAACTTTATAATTTTATTTTAATATTATTAAAAAGGAAAATAAAATATTATTAAAAACGAAATTATGTTCAAAACTTTCCATTATTATACTTATTTAATACGTGGTACCAATACATGGTATTAATACACAGTATTAATACACGGTATTCTAATTTAGGAAATTATTAAAAACGAAATTATGTAATTTTAATTTATTAATACACGGTATTGTAATAGGTAATATGTAATAAAACTTTCCATATATTAAAAACGAAATTATGTTCAAAACTTTAATACACAGTATTAGGTAATAGGTAATATGTAATAAAAGGAAATTATTAAATTACACGTTATATTATTAAAAACGAAATTATGTTCAAAACTTTCCAATATTAATATTATTAATGCACAGTATTAGGTAATAGGTAATAGGTAATAAAATTTTATAATTTTAATATTACTAAAAAGGAAATAAATCACGGTATTATAATAGGTAAAATATTATTAAAAACGAAATTATGTTCAAAACTTTCCATTATTAAAAAGGAAATCATGCACGGTATTATAATAGGTAAAATATTATTAAAAACGAAATTATGTTCAAAACTTTCCAATATTAAAATTATTAATACACAGTATTAAAAAGGAAATATATCACGGTATTATATTATATTATAATAGGTAATATGTAATAAAACTTTCCATATATTAATACACAGTATTAATGCACGGTACATTGTAATTACCACAATTTCATACGCTAACTTACCGTGGATAGTATAAATACGCTACCTTACCGTCCCAGAAAATTAAACTTTCCAATATTAAAATTATTAATGCACAGTATTACGTAGTAGGTAATAGGTAATAAAATTTTATAATTTTAATATTTCTAAAAAGGAAATAAATCACGGTATTATAATAGGTAAAATATTATTAAAAACGGAATTATGTTCAAAACTTTCCATTATTAAAAAGGAAATCAAGCACGGTATTATAATAGGTAAAATATTATTAAAAACGAAATTATGTTCAAAACTTTCCAATATTAAAATTATTAATACACAGTATTAAAAAGGAAATATATCACGGTATTATATTATATTATTATATTATAATAGGTAATATGTACTCCCTCCGTCCCCCATAGATCTTCTCAATAGCCCTTTTTCTTTGTCCACAATAGATCTTCTCATTTCATTTTTTAACAATTAAAATACCATAACTACCCCCACTTACTTTATTTATCACACCCCACCCACCTCATTTAATACACTCCACCCATATTTCATTAAGGGTATTATGGTAAACTTTCACCTTTTTTCAACTCTCCTTAAAAACCACCAAAAGTCAAAATGAGAACATCTTAGGGGGACGGAGGGAGTAATAAAACTTTCCATATATTAATACGCAGTATTAATGCACGGTACATTGTAATTACCACAATTTCATACGCTAACTTACCGTGGATAGTATAAATACGCTACCTTACCGTCCCATAAAATTAAACGAGTGTTCAGGAAACGAGAGTTTTACAGAGTTGTTATTTTAATATATTCGGTGTTTTCCTCTGTTTTTGGTTGGAGATGGGAGTGATGATTACCGCCATAAAAAATGTTCATGCAGATTCCGGGTTGTTGATGATGAAGCTAAGAGCAATTAGAGTTTACTATGTCGCTGCTCATTCTCGAGGGCCGGAATCGTTGGATGTTGTTTTCCATGACTCGGAGGTAAGTTCTACATTGTTTTATATTTTACAAATAATACGTCTTTAAACAAAAAAAATAAAGATTAACGTTTTATATTTGTTGTTAGGGCTCTAGGATCCATGCTCAGATCAAAGATTCTAATATAAGCACATTCAAAAAAGATTTGCAAGGAAATGCAGTTTACTTAATCATGAGGGTCAAGGTTTTACGCAATTCCCAAGGCACAAAAACTACCAATAGCCCTTGCATGCTCCAATTTTTGGAAAAGACAAGGATTCAAAAACTATCAGACAATGGATTTCCTAATTTTCAATTCAACTTTAAGAGTTTTGAAGATGTTCTCAAAACAAAGTTTGCTGACCAAGTCTTTTTAGTTGGTAAGGGTCATTTACATTTACATAATTTAAATACTTACACATATGAAATACATTTTATGTATTATGATTATGAAATTTTTAAAATTGTATTTTTATGGATTTTCAGATATAATCGGGAAGGTAGTTAGCCCGAAACCCGTATGGTTAAAAATGCCCCGGAGCAAATGATGGAAGTTACCTTGGAGAACCACAAGTAAGTGATTTTTTAATAACCAATTTCAATTTAATTAAAAAAAATTATACTTTGAAAAAATTACTAAATAATTCATTTGTATGATACGTTATTTCGTGGTTAGCTAATTACTAAAAAAGTGTGACACATATTATATTTAAAAATAATTATAACTTTTTTTTGTAGTGGCGTTCGGTTGAATTGTACGTTATGGGGAAATCACGTCAATGTTTTCATTGATGGATTGAGTGCATCGGAATCGACCCCTCCAATTTTGGTGTTGCAGTTGGTGAAACCTAAGTTCTACAATGGTATATATTTATAAATTAATTTAAATTAATTTTGAACGACATGTACCCAATGATATAATTCTAATTGTATTTTTTTCAAATCATTTAGAGCAAGTGTCAGTTACAACATTTTACTCTGTGAGCAAGGTTTTATTCAATTATGAGTGTGATGAAGTTAAAGCTTGGAGAGAAAAGTAAGTCCACATGTATTCTTGTAGATTTTTTATTTCTAAAAATATAATCAACGTGTTGTTTAAATTTTTAACAATTGTAATCATGCAGGTTAATGTTAAGTGCTACTCACTTAACCCAAAGTTGTAGTATCGTCTCAACACAATCAAGATCAAGAGATGATAAAAGAACGAGCAACTTGAAAGTGGTCTCCATTCATGAACTAAAAAACATGAGCAATGTAAGACATATTTCTTTACATGTTATATAAAAAATAATTTACTTTTCACCTTAAATATATTGCATATTCATCTATGGCAATTATGTAACTACGTGTTCCTATTTTTAAATAATTTTAATTTAGTTTTAATACCCGAGTAATAAAAAGTAAATTTATTAAATTCACTATTTGCAATTTACGTTAGTTTAAAAAAGACATATTTCTTTACATGTTATATAAAAAATAATTTACTTTTCACCTTAAATATATTGCATATTCATCTATGGCAATTATGTAACTACGTGTTCCTATTTTTAAATAATTTTAATTTAGTTTTAATACCCGAGTAATAAAAAGTAAATTTATTAAATTCACTATTTGCAATTTACGTTAGTTTAAAAATTCTGAATAAGCTTAATTTTTATGAGCTATTGATAATTTAGTATTGCAGAAAGTAAATTATGGCATAATTAAAAAATTTAAATACAATTTAAGTAGTCACGAGAGACCAAAAAGGAAAAAAAATACAAATTTCCATTTAAATACCTAAATTAATTAGACGTATTTTCTAATTTCCTAATTTATGAAAAAACGGGATCCCATTCTTATTTGGAATTAGAAATTATGTACGGATATAATTTAATAAATACACTAATAATATTAATAGACGAATGATTTTCTTTATTTAATATAATTACTACACGGAAATATATATATTTAATAATAATACAAATTTATTGATTTATTTCTTATTATAAGAAAGGATATTATTGGATACTTGGTGATGTTGTTGAAATTGAATACACCAATGAATGGTGTTATCTTGGTTGTCCCAAGTGCAATCGGAAGGTTGTTCCAGATGCTACGAGGTTCAAGTGTATGAAATGCGAAAAAGATTATCCTGAAGGAGTGTATAGGTTGTTATTTGCATTCAAAATATTTGATACCCCGAAAGAATAACTTTTAAAATTACTAATTTTTAACGTATGATAAATAGATACAAGGTGAGCATTTGTGTTATTGATAATAGCGATGCTGCTTCCCTTATTTTGTGGGATAAGGAATGTTCAGACCTTCTTGGGATGCCAGCCAGTGCCATGAAGAGTATGATGGATGAGGTATTGACTTATTTAACTCTTTATAAAAAATTTGTAATGCAATTTAAAATACCACTTTTTGAAACGTATAGAGAAATGATGATTCAAGCAACATTCCGAAGGAGATTAGAGACATTGTTGATATGCGGGCGTTATTTTGCATATACCTCAAAGAGGCTGTGGAGAACAATTCCTATGGAAGTGGCAAAAGTTTTGGAGTTTCAGATATTATAACAGATAAAACTATCATATCTCGATATGAAACCATTGATTTGGATGATCAATTTGAACAGGCCCTTAGAGAACATGAGAAGAATGGAGATGCTTTAGAAATGGTATTTTTACTCACCCATAAACTAACGTGATTTCCAAAAAAACCACAACTTTATTATCAATGAAAAAATATTACACTTTAATTTTACTTGCAGATTGGTTCAAATGATGTCCTGAAGGTTTTGAGAGATGAGAGTATATCAAGAAAAGAAGTAATTGATCAAGCGGACCCTGTGAAAAGATCTTTACAAGATGAATTCAGTTCAACTGCACAAAATAAGAGATTAAAGGCGATCAAGGTGGAGAAGGAGTGACGAATAGATGAATTGTTTTATTTTGTGTTTGATGAATTTAATTTTAGTACACTAGCATCCTGTGAGGATATGACAAAGAAAAAAAACCTGGCTTTCCAATCACCTACATTCAAAAGAATTCGATACACAACTGGAGAGGCATTCGAGAGAGCCAATATTGAGAGGGCATTTGCAGAGTAACGAATTACATATGCGGCAATTAAAGACGTCAACAAGAATTATTGGTGCAAAGCGCATCAACCCCGATTCAAACATAGGTACGTCACTCATACTTTAATTCAATTATTAATAAAATTTTTTAGGTTGGTGAATATAAATTTTTCACTAAACATTAAATCGAGGAATCTCTAAACCCATTGATTTTTATTTGAAATCAGATGACCAAAAGCAATATAATAACGTAAAAATCAAACACATGTAACATAGTGCATATACCTTATCAGTACTCCGGAAATTGAATGTCTCCTCAAGACTTCCTAAGAATTGAAGCAGTTTCTTCCAATAAACCAAGATTTACCTATGAACTCCAAAAAAAAAATATTTATGAAAATGGATTAGTCCGGATTTTTAACCAAAAAAAAATTGGCGTGTGTATGTTAAATGTAGAATCTAAATAACAGTTATATATTCGTATCTAAATTTTGTATATACTAACATAAATGTACCATATCAATCTGTCATAATTCACAAAAAAAAAATGGTTGGGTGAAATTGGTCCAGCTGCTAAATTCATAATTCCAAGAAATAACTAATTTAATAGAATTAGAACATAATTATCTAAGAATATGTAAAATCTGGAACATCCTCATATAAACAAATTGGTCTCTTTATTATTCTTATTACTGTGATTTTTTTTAAATTTTTATATTTATTAAAACAAATTCCGAAATACTTAAAAAAAATACCAATAAATCGTTATGATATAATTATATCAAAATTACGACAAGTATTTCTACCAATTTCTAAATTCCCGATCAAAAAGAAATAATTGAGGACTTAGATCTAATTTCATATAAAAAAAAGTAGATTAAATCTTTAACTTACATTTAGTATTAAGCACTGGATGATGCAGACCCTGACTTTGTCTCCTCCAGTCCAAAACCATTCTTCCGATTTTATGGAGAACGAAACGAGGAAAATGAATTTTTATCAAAAAAAATTATAAACATGACCCGCAGAGAAATAAAACGCGTTGAGGGATTAGAAATACGATTCTATAACCTTGCCGACCAAAAAAATTACGAATTGAAGAAGCAAGGAGTCAATTGATTACAAACAAGATGAAGAGGAGTTGAAGAAACCGAAGAGATGCGTAGAAGAGAGAGAGGGGTCGGCGAAGAAGACTCTGGATTACGTAATCCATATATTTTATTGGTTTGGGATATGGGTATCACTTGGACCAACTTTTGAAATGTCCATAAGTAAATAACCATTAAGTTTTGGGCCGAAAATTATTTAATATTACTTGGGCCATTTGTTGGAAATATATTTGGGACAAGAAAATATACTACATACTTTAATACACAATTCACAAAATTTAAACATTACAAACATTGTCAATTATTATTTTTTTAAAATTATTATAAGATACATTAAATTTGAATTTTGTTGAAAAAGATAACAATTAAAAATTAAAACACTTTTAGGAATTTTGTTGAAAAAAATAATAATTAAATATTAAAACACTTTTACACTAACAAGAAAATTTATTTTATTTGAGCTGATATTTTCTCACATTTGTAAATTTAAGACATCGGACGCTCAGTACATTCGAGATATGATTCTTCTCAAACAATTTCACGAACAGATGGTGACATTGCAAGCTCTTCATTTCAGAATGAAACAAGATCCATTTCAAATCTTACTCGCGGTATGATCACTATAACATTGATCAAAATAATATATTACACATTTTTTCAATAAAAATATAGTTATGATGATTTCCTTTCGCAGAATGCACAATGACAACGTCAAACGCACTTGGGGTCTCGCAATGTTCAAGGAGTTCAACCGTAAATAGTTCATTTATTACTCAAATATTTGGCGAGTGTTGGTCATTTGACCCGTCTTTTGATGGTACACAACCCAATGATGATGTGATTGATCCAATCTATGATGGAGACAATGAGGGTGAAGATTTGAACACGATTCCGTTAAGGACTAATTTAGTTCAATCAGCATCGTCTTTCAGAAATGATGTCAAGGAATTGGACATTGGAGATCCTATTTACGAATGTGAATCCTGTATGTCATATTTTTGGTATGAAGAGCGTACTCTTGGCCGATCAAAAAAGAATAAACCAAGATATGGCTCTTGCTGTAAGCATGGGAAAATTGAAGTGGCCTTTGTTAAAAATCCGCCAGATCTGTTATGGGAACTATTAACTGGAACAGATGATACGAGCCACCACTTTCAACAAAAAATCCGTTCATACAACTGCATGTTTTCCTTTACATCGACAAAAGGAGATATCATTAAAGATGTGAATCGTGGAAGGTCTCCGCCTGTCTACAAACTTGGTGGTAGAAATTATCATATGATAGGTTCTTTGATTCCAAGCAGTGGTGTTTCCCCCAGATTTGCACACTTATACATACATGATACAGAAAATGAAACTTTAAACCGTATGAAAGCTGTGAGGTATGTCGTTTACTAATGTTATACTTGAAATATATTGAAGTCACCAATGTGCTTATTACACACATATTGATCATGTATACTATACATATGCTAACAATGTCTATCATTTTAAATATAGGAAAGACGGCAACATTAAAAGCACGTTGCGAGGAAATTTGGTTGAGCAATTGCAACAAATGTTGGATGACCATAACGTTTTTGTTAAATCATTTCGGATGGCTCGCACGAAAATATTGGAAACTCAGTGCACGAATATTCGACTGAGGTTGATATGTAAACGAAACTCCGACCCTAGAAGATATAATTTACCAACTGCATCAGAGGTAGCTGCGTTGGTCGTTGGTGATTTTGATCAATCGTTAGGGGAACGAGACATATTAGTTGAGACCCTAGGTGGATCTACTCAGATCATAAGCGAGTTGAACCCCGCATACTTAGGATTGCAATATCCATTATTATTCCCCTATGGTGATGATGGTTATCGAGAGGACATTCCATTTTCAAATGAAGCAAGCATTGGTAGTGGGGGCCGAAGAAACGTTGGCATTAAAGAGTTTCTTGCTTTTAGATTTCATGAGCGCAAAAATGAAAATCCTTTCATTTTATATTCAAGAAAGCTTTTTCAAGAGATAGTTGTGGATTGATATACCATGATGGAGTCATTACGATTATTATGGATAAGAACCCACCAGAAGAAGCTCCGGTGTGAGATGTATAATCGTCTGTCAGACTCACTACTCCATGGGGACATTGATGCTTCGGCCACAGGTAAGAGAGTAGTTCTCCCGTCAACGTTTGTTGGTGGTGCATGTTACATGATACAGAACTATCAAGATGATATGGCAATATGTCGATGGGCTGGCTATCCTGATTTATTCTTGACTTTTACATGCAATCCAAAGTGGCCAGAAATCACTCGATTTCTTGAAAAAAAAATCTAAGTCCTCAAGATCGTCCGGATATATGTTGGAGAGTTTTCCATATGAAATTAAATAAGCTCATTAAAGAACTGCACAAGCAACAACTTTTTGGAATAGTTCGTGCAGGTACTATACACTAACTTCATTTTTCCTACTTTACATCAACACTTGCACCCGAGAGATTAATTTTTGACGCTTAAAAATTATTTTTGAATGCAGTTGTTTATACCATTGAGTTTCAGAAGCGAGGATTACCGCATGCGCATATATTATTATTCTTGGGCCAACAGAGCAAAAATCCAACTCCTCAAGTGATTGACAAAATGATTTCTNGCTCATTAAAGAACTGCACAAGCAACAACTTTTTGGAATAGTTCGTGCAGGTACTATACACTAACTTCATTTTTCCTACTTTACATCAACACTTGCACCCGAGAGATTAATTTTTGACGCTTAAAAATTATTTTTGAATGCAGTTGTTTATACCATTGAGTTTCAGAAGCGAGGATTACCGCATGCGCATATATTATTATTCTTGGGCCAACAGAGCAAAAATCCAACTCCTCAAGTGATTGACAAAATGATTTCTACTGAACTCCCTGATAAAGATTTGGATCCTAAGTATTTTCAAGTAGTCTCTGATTTTATGGTTCATGGACCTTGCGGACCGTTTGCAGCAGGCGCCCCTTGCATGGACAATGGTAGATCCACCAGACATTTTCCAAAAGAATTCAATAGTGATACTATCATTGATGACGATGGATATGCAAGGTACAGAAGACGTAACGATGGACGAACGATTGAAAAAAATGGGGTTATTTTGGACAATCATTTTGTTGTACCACATAACAGATACTTATTCATGAAATATGGAGCGGAAATGAATGTCGAATGGTGCAACCAAACACGCTCCATCAAGTATTTGTTTAAGTATGTCAACAAAGGTCATGATCGAGTTACTGCTGTTTTTTATGAAAACTCTAAGAATTCGGCACATTTAACAATAGATGAGACAAACGAAATCAAACTCTACTATGATTGTAGATATGTTTGTCCATGTGAAGCTATGTGGAGAATTTTTGGGTATGAGTTGCAGTATAAAAATCCGACTGTTGAGCGCTTGAGCTTTCACTTGCCAAATGAACAAATGATATTTTTTGATGACGATGATAATGCCTCTGAAGTTGTCCGACGAGAAAGCATTAAAGAGAGTAAATTTCTGGCATGGATGACTGCAAATAAAACTTATCCCAATGCACGAGCTCTTACATATGGTGAACTTCCGCAAAAATTTGTTTGGAAGTCAGATACGAGACAATATGAACCTCGAAAGAGAGGTTTTGCAATAGGACGTTTGAGTTATGTTCCTCCAGGTACAGGTGAACCGTACTACCTGAGATTTCTTCTAAACATAGTGCGTGGGGCTACATGCTACGATGATATCAAAACTGTTAATGGCATTGTTCATGAATCATACCGTGATGCATGTTATGCTTTGGGATTGCTTGACGATGATAGAGAATATCTAGACGCATTCGTGGAGACAAGTCACTGGGCTTCTGCTGCGCAGCTAAGGAATTTATTTGCAACGCTATTGACGACAGAATCAATGTCGAGACCAAGACATGTGTGGGAGCAATGTTGGAAGTATATGGGAGATGATGTTTTGTACCGGCAACGTCGTTTGTTGGATCATGAAGGTATTTTTTTATTTTATAGTGATTTCAAATAAAAACAATATGACTAACACTTTATAAATTTTAATTAGGTTTAATTCTTAATGACGATGAGATACAAAACCATATTCTATGTGATCTCGAACACTTGCTGAGAAGTCGTGGTAAGAGCCTTCGCGATTACACAGATATGCCTCAAGCGAACCTCCAAAGAATTTGGATTTCAGCCAATCGACTGATTTTTGATGAAATGCAATACGATCGAATTGCATTGGCAAGCGAGCACACCAGATTATTACGTTCACTGAATGATGAACAACGTGCAGCGTTTGAAGCAGTAATGCAATCTGTTCAAACAAATGCTGGCAAACTATTCTTTCTGTGCGGATATGGAGGCACTGGCAAGACTTATGTCTGGAGTACATTATCAGCTGCAATACGATGTCGAGGTGATATAGTACTAAATGTTGCGTCAAGTGGTATAGCATCGTTATTGTTGCCAGGTGGTAGAACGGCTCACTCGCGTTTTAAGATCCCATTGATTCCAGATGAAAACTCTACTTGCAACATAAGGCAAGGCTCTCCGCTGGCACAACTCTTGGTGAAAGCGAAATTAATCATTTGGGATGAGGCCCCTATGACACATAAGTATTGCTTCGAAGCTTTTGATAGAAGTTTGCGCGATATTCTACGATTTTCTAATCCGATGAGTGAACAACAAACTTTCGGAGGAAAAACAATTGTCTTTGGTGGAGATTTTCGTAAAATTTTGCCAGTTATTCCAAAAGGAACGAGACAAGACATCGTTAACTCAGCGATTAATTCTTCATACATTTGGGAAGACTGCACTGTGTTGCGTTTGACGAAAAACATGCGGCTGCAATCAATGATTCATGACAGTGGTTATGATCAATCATATGAGTTCAGCAAATGGATTCAGAGTATTGGTGACGGGAACGCAGGTGATGATCATGACGGTTATGCTAAGGTGATTATTCCTGATGACATGTTACTTCCGTCTTCTGAAGATCCAATAGCCACTATAGTGAATTCAACTTATCCAGAATTTCAAAAAATAGCCAATGAACTGAGCTACTTGCAGGAGCGTGCAATTTTGGCTCCTACACTGGATGTCGTCGATTCCATAAACGAATATATGACAGCGATGAATCCAAGCAGCGAGACTCGAACATACCTTAGTTCTGATAAAGTTGAGAACTCGGATTGCAGTTCATGTTTTTTTGGTGACCTACACTCTCCCGAATTCTTAAATAAGATTCATGCTTCAGGTGTACCGAATCACGAATTAACTCTGAAGGTAGGCACACCTATTATGTTGTTGAGAAATATTGACCATTCAATGGGTTTGTGTAATGGTACACGATTGATAGTAACCCGGTTGGCTAATCACTCAATACAAGGAAAAATATTATCAGGAAGCCACATGGGTGAAGAAGTTGTTATTCCAAGACTATCATTAACACCGTCCGATACAAGAATTGCTTTCAAGTTTCGAAGAAGACAATTCCCTGTGGTTACTTCGTACGCAATGACGATTAACAAGAGCCAGGGACAATCTCTGAAACATGTTGGACTACTGTTACGGAAACCTGTGTTTAGTCATGGACAGCTCTATGTTGCAGTTTCAAGAGTAACTAATCGTAGTGGATTGAAGATTCTGATATGCAATGAAGACGATACTCCCACAAATACTACACATAATGTAGTATATAAAGAAGTCTTTCGAAATTTGTAAAACATTGATGTTCTGTACTTTGAAATTATATATACACTAAGCTCTATTGCATTTCAGTTTTTATCACTGAAAAATGATCTGAGTTCAAAAACATAAAAATGACCCGTGCAACGCACGGGTGTGATACTAGTTNAAGAAGACAATTCCCTGTGGTTACTTCGTACGCAATGACGATTAACAAGAGCCAGGGACAATCTCTGAAACATGTTGGACTACTGTTACGGAAACCTGTGTTTAGTCATGGACAGCTCTATGTTGCAGTTTCAAGAGTAACTAATCGTAGTGGATTGAAGATTCTGATATGCAATGAAGACGATACTCCCACAAATACTACACATAATGTAGTATATAAAGAAGTCTTTCGAAATTTGTAAAACATTGATGTTCTGTACTTTGAAATTATATATACACTAAGCTCTATTGCATTTCAGTTTTTATCACTGAAAAATGATCTGAGTTCAAAAACATAAAAATGACCCGTGCAACGCACGGGTGTGATACTAGTTATGTTAAACCTCTCTTTGTGGACTACAAAACGATCAATACTATTACGCTATCTCTGAAGATTATTATCAATGATATTGTTAGAATCCTAGCAAGAAAATGTATGTGCGACAACCAGAGAAGAAATGACGTCACAAGAACAGGCTGAATCATTCAAGTGAAGATCCCGAACCTATATGCGATGTTGGTTTAAGAACTAGTAAAGATTCCTCACTCTATGAACTCATGAATTGAATCACGTACTAAAGATATTATCTTTTTCCTCGAAACGAGATCAGCCATAGTGCTACAATTGAATCTGTCGCTATCATATCTAGATATGTTTTCATATTAATGAAAGAAAATTTGAATACGACAAGTCGTACAAGAGACGCTACTCGAACGTCATCAACTATGAATACGAAGACGCATTAAAAGATAAACGAGAGCTACCGTGAAGTGAATGAAGAAATGTTTCGATGTAAATGGATGATAACGAGCTACTCTACAACCGATTGACAAGTACTTACTCATAAATGATGACAAATTCCCTATCCTAAACCAAGGAAAGCCATTTGATGTTACTTACGAGTCATTACTGAACAATGTAAACAATGTGAAGATGTCTTGAGTGACTTGAAAGATTACGCTACGATGTATGGATTGAAAACAAACTCTAAATTCCCAATTATACCTATCGTGAATGTGATGACTTGAAATTGCAAATGCTACCGAAAGACTTTCAATCAAAGGAGGAATACTGATAATCGACGTTGTGCAATTGTGAATTGTGTTATGTCCAGTATGTCAAGTTTACAACCCTATATACGGGAACTTTAGTTGTTGATACTGAAAGATCACTGAATGCCTTACTCAATTAAAAGATGGTTAATCTCTTGAAGAAAGAACGAGTTTCATAACATTGACAAATTGAGAATACTTATCCATGTGGATAATGACGTGAATATGATTTAACTAAATAGACATGACGCGGTTATGATTAGGTGCGATCACAACAAAATGTTGAAAGTTGAGCCTTAGAATAATTTCGAGGACGAAATTCCTTTAAGGGGGGGGGGAGAAATGTAACGCCCCAAAATATACCTTAAAATTTATTGAATTAAATATTCAATTAAACAAAATTTGTTTTGATTAAAATAAATTATTATTGGGATTTGGGCCGAAATAAAATATATATTGATGTCCAATAAACATAATTGGGTTGAATCTCATAGAGAAAAATCCAACCTGTTGACTTATTGTGTGGTCTTGATTGGGAACTTGAGTATAGACCCAAATTAAGAATAAATGAAGAAACTGTTTGTATTGTGAACTTTGAAATGATTTATTGAAATAAATCATGGAAATAAATAGTATGGATTAAATGTGAGAACCTTTTTGAGTACAGGTCAATTAAACCAATTTTGACTCTGTCACAGTCAAACACCAAAAATATGATGTCGGAAAAAGTATAACAAATAAATGTAAAAAGTATATCGTTAGATAGAGTTTAATTGCACGATCGCAACGGTGCAAACGGATTTCAATTCGAAGAAAGTTGGACCAAAAGTATACCCCGACTGGGACCAAAATTAGTCCCAATCAGGGACGGCGCCTCCTACTCCACTCAGCCGATGGAAGATGCATTCCTACGCAAATCCTACGCAGCAACGTTGTCACCTTCCCCATTCTGTTCCTATATAAGCAACAATCAACCTTCTCATTCATCACCAAAAAATTATGAATTTAGTATCAATGTGTTCACAAGAGTAAGGAGAGCAAACTGGTGTTGTTAATTGCCGCTGTAGTCGCCAGAGTTGGGAGTAATCGTCGTCGGAAGTTTCGGCGGAAAATCTTCAAAACCTTCATTTACCTTCGAGGTAAGCCCGTTGATATATCTAGTGACTAGAATGTTCGTATAGATCGTTTCTACGTTCATAAACACTCGTTTGATTGAGTTTTGTGTTTGACATGCTTGAAGAACCAAGAATCATAAACCATGAATTTGATGTTTAAACTATGAATTAATGATACCAAAATGACCTATGAACCTTGGAGAACATTTGTATATAGTTTTTACGAAGTTCGGTAACCAAAAATGATATTTTCGAAATTGGACCTGAGAGGTTGAAGAAGATGAACAGTAGCTGAAATGCAGTAGGAAGGATCGATCCTCCTCATTGGATCAATCCTCTGGGAGTGAATTTTATAGTTTGATCGATCCAGACAACTGGATCGATCCTCCGAAACTCTGACCCGAAAATTTGTCTGAAAATGCTATTTTTGAGCTCTAAAATCCTATTTTTGATACCATTTGATTATGACCATTATAAAAGGATTTATCAGAATAAAAGTGATGTTCTTAATAAAAAAAATGTTATGTGATGCATGACGGTAACTTAGGGTGTTAACACCCGAAGCTAGGCCGCTAATTGTTATTGAATATTATGTTGATTGATGACTATGGTAATGAATATTGATTGATGATTATGATGATTAAACCTTGATAAATGTTCGGATTAAAAATGGAAATTATGAATGATTAAATCATAATGAATATATTGATGATTGTGAAAATAATATGTATTGTTAAGGGTATCTAGAAGACCTCTAAGATATACCCATATTAATGTTGATTTGAACGGGTATCTAGAAGACCTCTAAGATATACCTATATAAGTTAGGCCTTGCGGGTATGATGCCCGGTGGCTAGGGTTAAAACGTACGTACGGGATCCAGGAACCAAACTTGAGTACCTACTCGTTTGGGGGTACCACCCACCCAACAGTGAACACTACGCTATCGGTTTTTGGTTGGCCTTAAGTGAAGGTAAGTTTAAGATTTCCAAAACCCTTTTATCTTAAACTAGGCCTAGCTTAAGGATTATTAGGAGTACTCTGTATACTGGAATATAGTTTAATTAGTTAAACTAGAATTCATTTAAGGGTTGACAAATATTAAATTGATTGGCCTTAGACTAAAAATAGTTTAAGGATACTGTTGAATGACAAATGATGAATATACATGTTGGATGATTGAATAATGAATGTTGAAAATTGAATATTGATAATTGAATATCTAAATTGAACATTATGTGCATGATATCAAATGGTTGATTATGAATTGAGATTCAATTTATGTGGATGTTCGACGCATTAGATATGCTTACTCAGCTTTACCGCTGAGCGTGTAGTGTGTTTTATTTGCTACACGCAGGTCAATAGAATGATGTGACGTGATCCTGGAGGCAGACGGAGGCGAGATAGTGGGAATGGATGTGATCGTTTTGAATTAAAGAATATAAATAAATTATTTTTGTGGTTATGATTTGTTAAGCTTCCGCAATATTGAAAACTCTGTACTGTTTATGATATGAAAAATATTATTATGATAAATAAAAGTGTTTTAAAATTTTTAATTTTTATGATTACCAAGTTAATACTTTAGTCTGAAAGGGGCTGCAGACCTGGACGGATTAGGGTGTTACACTACTAGTGTCATTTGCTTACACCAGTTCGTTTGGGGTGCCTACGGTGCTCCGTTTGAAAAAATAACGGTTCCTACCCGCCTAACCCTCCCCCTTAACCCCCCACCCTAACCCCACCCTAGCCCCCCTACCCCAGCCCCCCTCCTGCCCCCATCCCTACCCATGTCATGCACTGCCAGGGTAGGGAGGGGGCAGGAGGGGGGCTGGGGTGGGGGGGCAAGGGTGGGGCTGGGGTGGGGGGTTTAGGGGGAGGGTTAGGGCGGGTAGGAACCGTTGTTTTTACAAACGGAGCACCGTATCCAAACGAACTGGTGTAAGCAAATGGTGTAACAACCTCCATCCCGTGAACGCAGTTCACCGCGGCACAACAAGCCGGAGAGGTTACGTAGACGGTTTTAAGGCCATCTACAAAGAAAAACCCTTGCGTTGCTTGTAATAGAAAAATACCCTTGATATACTTTATTAATGTTGAAAATGAATCCAACAAAAGGAAACGTTTCGTAGCAGAAGTAGATATAAATGAAACTGTTAAGTCATAAATAACGTAAGTGCAACAACGGTGGATTCAAGCCCAAAATAGGTTTTTAATAATAATAAATAACTAGTCGAGTCCACACTGTCGCTCATCCACTTGCCCCGATCACCCAATTGTCCGGGTCAGGCTCCATGATCCTCTGGCCTACCTGCGTATAGCAAGGGGAAACTGTAACGCCCTAAAACATACCCTAAAATTTTTAATGAATAAATATTCAATTAGTCAAATTTGTTTCGATTAAAATAAATAGTTATTGGGCTTTGGGCCAAAATGAAATGTGTTTTGACATCCAATATCACAAACCAGGATAAGTCTCATAGAGATAAATCCAATATGTTGAGTATTTGTGTGGTCTTGATTGAGAACCTGAGTACAGACCCAAATCAAGAGTAAATAAAGAATTTGTGTAGAATGTAAATATTGAAATGATTTGTTGAAATAAATCATGAGAATAATTGATATGAATTAAATGAGAGAACCTTTTATGAGAAAGGTCAATTAAACCAATTTTTATTCTGTTAAAGTCAAACACCCAAAAATGTGGTGTCGGAAAAAGTATAACGAATGAATATAAAAATTATATCGTTGGATAGAGTTTAACTATCCGATCGCAAAGGTGCAAACGGAATTCAATTTGGAGAAAGTTGGACCAAAAAGTGTACCCCGACTGGAACCAAAATTGGTCCCAATCAGGGACTTGCGTTATCAGCCGTCTGCTCCACTGAGACGCCAAAACAGGAGAACAACATGTCATCCCATGTCTTCTTCCCCCTTCCCTTCTTCTATATAATGGAAACAAAAACATCACCATTTATTCACCATTCTTCATCAAATTTGTTCTGGGAGATAGCCTTGAGTGTGGAGAACGCAGTGGTGCTGTCAATTTGATGTGAGGTCGCCGGAGTTGAGAGCTATCGTCACCGGAAGTTTCGTCGGAAAATCTTCAAAACGCCCATTTAGCTTCAAGGTAAGCCCGTAGATATATCTAAAGATTAGAATGTTCATATAGGTTGTTTTTACGTTCATAAATGGTCATTTGGTTGAGTTTTGTGTTGGACATGTTTGAAGAACCAAGAATCATAAACCTTGAATTTGATGTTAAAAATATGTTTTAATGATTCTAAAATGATCTATGAACCTTGGAGAACATTTCTATATAATTTAATTGAAGTTT